AAGACCTGGAAAATCTCGGTACAAGAAACTGGGGGAGAGCAGAGAGGACAGCTGCAATGTTTTTAGGAAAGCCACGGCTCACCTCGGGCTGTAGAGCTAAGTAGTAAGTATATATATAAAAAAAAATAACAATAAATATAACATAAAAAGAAACTGGATTTTTTAAAATAATTGAGGAAAATGAATTTATCAAAGTACATTATCCCATGATTTAATTTCAAATTAAAGGTTTATTAGTTGAAATATAAATTAATAAACCACTTAAAATATTAATCATCAGGTTCACAATGCATTATTAACATTATTAATTTTTTTGTAATTGGACAAAAAAAGGGAAAAAAATTACCTTCCTTTTCCTCTTCACTGATGTTCTCTTCTAAAATGAAAAACAAAAATATATTTTTAGTAAGGGTAATAATTAATTTAATCTTGTTTATATTTTTGATAGATCATTCACAAATGACACGATTCCACTAGGATACATTTTTAAAAAATTTACCTACATATACAGGATGTCTCGCAAGATATAGAAAAATATTTCCTGTTTATAAATCTTTTATTTCTTTATTGTTAAAATTAACTGTTACAAAGATTTTATTTTTTGTTTTTACACGATCCTGGGATGTATTATAATAAAAATAATTGCCTAAATACACTTTTAAGTATTAAAAAAAAATGAATATTAAAAATAATGATTTTTCGTATATTTACTATCTGAAATGGTAATAAAATATGGTTTTAATCCAAATTTCTATTACAGGTATGGAACTGTATTAATAAGTGAAAAACTACGAGTTTTTCGTCCTAAAATTTACGTTTAAATTAAAGAAACTAGCTGATTGCTTCAATCATTTTCATGAAAACGTAAACATTAGGACTAGAAACATTTAGTTTGTTACCTATAAATACGGACCAATTCCTATGAAACAGGTCTGGGAGAAAAACACTATTTCAGAACCACTTTGCATAAAAAATCATTATTTTAATAACTAAAAATTGTATTTAGGCAGCTATTTTTATTATAATACGTCCCAGATCATGGAAAACAAGAAATAAAAGCTTTGCAACAGTTAATTGTAGTCGTTTTTGCTGGAACACTGTTATTTTTAGGTGAGAGGATAAAAAATCACATCATTTTGTTTACACAACTTGAGATGAATCTCAATTTTTTTCTTAATAAACCTCAAGATAATTAATATGAAATTAAAACTTATTAAACAGGAAAGTTTTCCCTTGAAGTGGGGTATCTGCAGTATAATTGGATGATGATAAAAAAAAAAAAAAAAAAACCTAAATAACTAATGATTTTTTAAAAACAGAAGTTAGCTTAGCTTAGCTGCTCAGAAGTTCTCTTTAAATAGTTTTAACAATGACAAAATCTGTTTTCATTTAAAGTAAAGTTAAATTCTAAATGTATTAAGACTATATTTAATATACATATTCTGTTCTAAGCTCTGGAAAGAATACCTCGAGCACAAAACACCGGAGAACTTCGAAAAAAACAAGCTGAAAAGGATTGAGGCCAAAAATAAAGTTATTGAGGACAAGAGGAAAACCTGGGAAGATTTTAGACGAAAATTGGAATAGGATTTCTACCAAAATTAAAAGCTATTTTACCGAGTCCAAAAATAATTAAGAAAGGAAAGATCGCCAACCCTGAAATTCGTCAAAGACAAGAAAGGAAATATTCTCAGGCAGAAGGATGAGATAATGAAAAGGTGGAGGGAATACTTCCAAGATCTGTTAAATGAAAATGAAAATGGACAGAAACCCTCTGTAGATGAAGAGACAAGAGAGGTAGGTCCTTGGGAAGAAGACGACTTTATTGGCGATGACGAATTGGAAGAAGCAATCTGGAGTATGAAGCTAGGGGTGGTTGGGCGGGAAATCCGCAGGTAGTGATGGTGTAACTCCTGAAATTCTAAAATATATGGGGCCGAAAGGAAAAGAAATCTTGCTGCATCTGTTAAACTTAGTTTGGAAGCAGAAGAAAATACCGAAAGATTGGGAAGTGGCCATTATCGTCCCTATCTTTAAGAAAGGAGATAACAGAGATTGTAACAACCACCGAGGCATATCTCTCTTGAGCGTGCCAAGTAAGATTTACTTTTAGATCTTGGAAAAGAGAATAAGAAGAATCGAAGGATTACTTGAAGAAGAACAATACGGATTTCGGGAAAATCGTTGCACCTAGGATCTTATCTTTACCATAAGACAAGTTTTCGAAAAAGTATTGGAGAAAGAAAAGGAAATGTCGGTGTGATTTGTTGATCTTACAAAGGGCTTCGATCGGGTGAGAAAGTCTGATATCTTGGAGGCCTTGATAGAAAAAGGGTTTGATCAAGGTCATGTCCTGGTAATTGAGTCTCTACAAGAAAACAAGAAAAATAGTAAGATTTGCCGACTGCAGTTCACAGGAAATCAAAACAACAATTGGAATCCTGCAAGGTTGTAGTCATAGTCCACTTTTGTTGATACTAGCGATGGACTCAGCAATACGAAGGGCTAAAGGGAAAAGCGGAAATTTCACCTGGGATATGCCAACCTGAGATCGGTGAGCCTCTCAATCAATACTTGCATTCGCTGATGAAGTTGTTATTTTTTCGTACAGTGACATGAATCTTCAGTACAATATTAATAAATTAAAGGAAGAATTGCAGAAGATTAATATGGTTATCAACCCAGTAAAAACGAAAGTAATAAGGGTAGGGAAGAAGCCTAGGAGAAATATGCGCGTCATCAGGGTCGAAGACAAAATCCTCGAGCAAGTAGAAAACTTCAAATACTTGGGCGCACACCTTAATGAAAATGGATACATCGATTCAGAGGTGATTGAGACAATCGCTGATGCGAGCAGAATGTTTGAAGCAGTTAAGAAAGGTTTTCTAAACAAACGTGAGGTGGAAAAGAAAAGAAAAGTAGCTGTTTTCAGATCGACATTTCTTCCCATTTTAACGTACTCTTCAGAATCATGGACGCTGACAAAGAAACATGAATCAAGGATACAAGCGTCATAAATGCGATTCCTCCGAAAGATTGAGGGAAAACGAGAAGAGACAGAATACACCACCATCAAGTCGAACCTCAATATTAAGCCGGCCAATGATGTGATTGAGGAAAATCGACTGAAATGGCTAGGCCATCTTCTGCGGATGGAACCAAACAGAATAGCTAGCGAAACCTATCGATCCAAAGTAGACGGCAAGAGAGGAAGAGGACGGCCTAGAAGGAAATGGGAAGATGAGGTAAATAGAGAATTCCAGAGAAGAGGTCTTCAATGGAACGACAGAAGGCGTCTTGTTGAAGACCGGCAGAGCTGGAGAAAGCTCTATAGACTTCCTCCTCACACTGCTTAATGCGGTTCAAGAGGATGGATTATGATGATGATGTTATATTCTATCAAAATAGTAATATTCGCTACGGCATCTTATTAATCTATTATTTCTGATATAAATTTATGAATTATCAGTAAAATTTATTAATCAGATTATTTAAATCTATTATTTATGAATTATCAATATAATTTATTTATCAGATCATTTAAATCTATTATTTACGATATAAATTCATGAATGATGATTATTATTATATAACTATCAATATTTGTTCTTACTATGAGAAGGAGTTAGTCGGGGGTGCGGTCAGATAAATACTAAATTAAAATATGGTAATTATTTTATTTTAATTTTGCCGACGTTTCGACCCACTTTGCAGGTCGTCTTCAGGGCTAAAAAAGATACAAAACATGTTGGGAATAAAAATTAAATATTAAATATGTCTACATATTTTATAAGATACAAATTATGAATCTTTTGTAGCCCTGAAGACGACCTGCAATGTGGGTCGAAACGTCGGCAAAATTAAAATAAAATAATTACTATATTTTAACTTAGTATTTATCTGACCGCACCCCCGACTAACTCCTTCTCATATTATATCAACGGTCAACCATCTCTACATCATTTGTTCTTACTGTTTGCTTTGATACTCCCTAAATTGATATCTTGTTTCTGTTAGTCGAAACAACAAGGTTTTACTATTTTAGGTTTAAAAATAAGGCTTTTGATCGAGTCTGGCCCCCGGGAATATTTTACCAACTCCGTAAATTCCTAGATCCTACATACTTCCTCATTACCTAAATGATGGATACTTCAAATAAATCACAATAATACTTATTCATCCCTCTTTTCCCAGTCCGCTGGTGTTCCTCAAGGTAGTATCCTAGGTCCTACCTTTTACACAGTTTATACAGCTGACATCCCAACTCATCCTAACACTGTTATTACCACGTAAGCCGAAGATACATGTGTCCTATCTATAATGACCCAACCATTGCCTCCCAAACTCTTCAATCAGACATCATAAACCTTGAAGAATGGTTTCGAAACTGGAGGATTAAAATAAATTCTAATAAATCCCATCAAATCGCCTTTACCCTTCGCCGTAAACCTACGACCTCATGTCCCACAGTATCCTTTGATAATACCCCACTTTTCCCTGTTGAACAACTCCGATACCTTGGACTTCACGTCTAACTTGGAATCATCATACCAGACTGAAACGACAAGAAACCGCTCGACGTTTCCGACTACTTCAGCACTTATTAGACAAATGCTCTAACCTTTCAGTTAATTACAAAAGACTCATATACATGACTACAATAAGACCTATTTGGACTTACGGAGTTGAGCTTTGGGACTTCACTAAGCCATCGAATTCCTCTCGTATCCAATCCTTACAATCCAAAATCCTTTGGAAAATCCTCAATGCTCCTTACTTTGTCACCAATAAAACAATCCATAATTCATAACAATTTGAACGTTTATATAAATTATTTTTATATAATAAATTATATGTGAAAAGTTTATATATTATTAGTTTTATATAAATTAATTATAGTAGTATTACAATATATAAGCTTTTTTGTATATAACTTCATAATATAATATTATTATGGTATATTTTAGTTAATAAATGTCATTTTTAATAATCTGTATATACTAAATCATTATCAAATGTTTGTTACCATATATGAATATACTTACTGGTGATCCGCGATCCGATTCAGAGGAAAGAGTATGATGAGGGGAAAAAATTGGGGGAAGAGAAGGAATAGTAGGTAAAGGATTCAATTGACGAAGAAGAGTATGGTCGCTACACCGATCTGATTTAGATGACAGAGAAAGGTGAGGGGAAAAGCTTGGTGGAGTGAAATGTTTACGGATGGGGGGAGGAGTTAGTGGACGAGGAAGTGTACGGTCGCTAGAGCGATCCGACTCAGAGGAAATAGAATGGGGAGGGGAAGAAATTGGGGGAAGAGAAGGAATAGTAGGTAAAGGAGTTAATGGACGAGGAAGAGTATGGTCGCTCCACCGATCTGATCCAGAGGAAAGAGAAAGGCAAGGGGAAAAGTTTGGTGGAGTGAAATATTTTCGAGTCGGGGAAGGAGTTAATGGGCGAGGAAGAGTATGGTCGCTCCACCGATCTGATCCAGAGGAAAGAGAAAGGCAAGGGGAAAAGTTTAGTGGAGTGAAATGTTTATAAGTCGGGGAAGGAGTTAATGGGCGAGGAAGTGTACGGTCGCTAGATCGATCCGATTCAGAGGAAAGAGAACGGTAATGGAGAGAAGTTGATGGAGTGAAATTTTTACGGATGGGGGAAGGAGTTAGTGGACGAGGAAGTGTACGGTCGCTAGAGCGATCCGATTCAGAGGAAATAGAATGGGGAGGGGAAGAAATTGGGGGAAGAGAAGGAATAGTAGGTAAAGGATTCAATTGACGAGGAAGAGTATGGTCGCTCCACCGATCTGATCCAGAGGAAAGAGAAAGGCAAGGGGAAAAGTTTAGTGGAGTGAAATGTTTATGAGTCGGGGAAGGAGTTAATGGGCGAGGAAGTGTACGGTCGCTAGATCGATCCGATTCAGAGGAAAGGGAACGGTAATGGAGAGAAGTTGATGGAGTGAAATTTTTACGGATGGGGGAAGGAGTTAGTGGGCGAGGAAGTGTACGGTCGCTAGATCGATCCGATTCAGAGGAAAGGGAACGGTAATGGAGAGAAGTTGTTGGAGTGAAATTTTTACGGATGGGGGAAGGAGTTAGTGGACGAGGAAGTGTACGGTCGCTAGAGCGATCCGATTCAGAGGAAATAGAATGGGGAGGGGAAGAAATTGGGGGAAGAGAAGGAATAGTAGGTAAAGGAGTTAATGGACGAGGAAGAGTATGGTCGCTCCACCGATCTGATCCAGAGGAAAGAGAAAGGCAAGGGGAAAAGTTTGGTGGAGTGAAATATTTACGAGTCGGGGAAGGAGTTAATGGGCGAGGAAGAGTATGGTCGCTCCACCGATCTGATCCAGAGGAAAGAGAAAGGCAAGGGGAAAAGTTTGGTGGAGTGAAATATTTACGAGTCGGGGAAGGAGTTAATGGGCGAGGAAGAGTATGGTCGCTCCACCGATCTGATCCAGAGGAAAGAGAAAGGCAAGGGGAAAAGTTTAGTGGAGTGAAATGTTTATGAGTAGGGGAAGGAGTTAATGGGCGAGGAAGTGTATGGTCGCTTGAGCGACTTGATTCAGATGAAAGAGAATGTTGAGGGGAAGATGATTGAAGAGAATGTGTACCGGCAGGAGGTACAGTTAGTGGACAGTCATTAGAGCGATCTGATTTGAAGGATAGATAATGGTGAGGGGAAGATGTTGATTGATGAGAATGTGTCAGGGTAGGGGAAGGAGTTAATGGAGAAGAAAATATACAATAACAGGATGGATTTGATTCAGAGGAAAGAGAATGGGGAGAGGAAGATGGTGAAAGGGAATGAGTATGGGTAAGGAAAGGAGTTGGTGGACGAGGAAGTGTATGATCGCTTGAACGATTAGATTCAGAGGAAAGAGAATGGGAAGGAGATGGTGGAGGAGAATGTGCAGCAACATGGGGAGCCATTAGTGGACAAGGAAGTATGTGCTCATTCAAGCGATCTGATTCAGAGTAATCAGAATGGTGAGGGGAAGAAGTTGGTGGAAGAGGAAGTGTAAGATTATTGGAAAGAGAAGGGGACATAGAACTTTTTGATTCTATTTGTGACTCCATCGATTCCAATAGTTTTTGCAGGATCTATTGCTTGTTACCTGAAAACATAATGACTTGATGAAAGATAATTGAATTAATATTTAAAATATAGCTATTATTGCTCGTAAATTTGAATATTAATGTAATATACATTAAATTGAAATATGAGAAATCCTTTACTTAGTGCATATATATAAACATAATCTATGTTTGTTTTGCATTTATGCACAAGCGGATCCAGCATTTAATTTTGTTTGGTATATATTTAAAACTGTATTACAATATAAATATAAACATCAAGTAAATGTGTACACAGGAATATAATCGCATGAAAATGCTCGTTGAGAAACTACCCACAGGTAGCACTCTATCTTTATATGTATATATATATATATATATATATATATATATATATATATATATATATATATATATATATATATATATAAAACGATAATTACTTTGGAAGAAAAATAAATAAAATATCTATTTGAAATGGAGTTTACGTGGTTATTGAAGTAATATTAAATCAACAATAATACCTTTAGGAATAATTTTGTAATATTTTTTTATAAGATATGGTTATATTTTACTATTTTGGGAGGGGGAGGGGGGAGGTGGCTTCAGCTAGAAAGTCTTCCCCATAGTTCCGCCTGTGCATTTACGTGATCTAGTCTTTTTCTGTACTGATATACCTAATTCTGTGAAGCATCAACATTTATTACTAATGTATAGCAATAACACTTTCTTTAAAAAATCTTTGTATCTAGCAATTTTTTTTTTGTCACAGTAAGGGTTTTTAACCTTTTATATCAAAAGGGAATGAATTAATTAATTGATTATTAATAATTTCACCATTAATGACTATAATCTAAATTGTTGTTAAGATGTGAACTCAGGATATTTTATTTTAAATTGATTCACTTTATTCCTTTATTATTTTTCTAAAAATTAGAATATTTAAATAAATATTGCATAATAAATATTTTGATAAGCTTCAGAATTCTTAAGCCAATGAAATAGTATGTTACAGTGCTAAACAATTATTTAAACCATCTTACTTAATTGTGAAGCAAACATCAACTTATCTATTGTACATTTTTCACATTTCAGTTACATGGTCCAGATATATGAAAACTGTTTAGAGTTTATTTAATAATGATAATAATAATTTTGTCTGATCAGATAGCAATATCTATCGGTTAATAATGATACATAAGATAAAACAAAAACATATTATTTTAAAACATTTTTAAGTAATCTGATGTGGTGGATACAATAATAAGAATAAAATGTAACTAATATAATAAATAATATAACATGAGGATATAATTAAGATTATATATACACATCAATATATAAAAATCTGGTAAGCGCATCACAACTTTTACTTACTGCTCTACTTTGAAAAGCAATTCTTATCTGGAACGATTGGGCAATAGCCCAATAATCAAAATATTTGTAATAACACAAAGTTTTTGAACCACATTTTTAATGCAGCTAAACCTTATACAACATACTTTTGTTGTACCAATTAAAGAGGTCTAGCTATATATAATGCAATGGAATCCAATACTATAATAATACAAAAGAATAAACTTTTTTCTTAATAATATATTAATTGAAATTACCAAACAATTATGCATTCAATACTTATAAATGAGAAATCAAATTCTTTTTAATTTATTTATGTTAAATTGTAAACGATATAGCATAAATGAACCAGTAATAGACAGTGTTTAATTCATTAACATGTAATAAGCTTTATATATCCTAAAAAGAGAGCAAATACAATTAGATTTGAAGCTATGATGCCTGAACCACAGGTGGTATCATGCCACAATAGTCAATTGGTTGATTTTTCAATGTTGCAAGGATGGGTGTTTGTTTCAGGGAGCTTCCCTTATTACTTTTCTTCAGCTTCAGGATTTGAATTTTTGATTTATTCATCTGCAATTAGTTATTTACTTGTTTAAAACTGTGGTTAATTTATTTATTTTTAAATTATATAAAAAAATTTGTTGACCCCAAAACTTGAGTGTCTATTACAAAATACACTATCAGAATCTCCTAAGTTTTTAATAAATAAGAAACTAACTGTCTTGATAGAAAAAACCAAATTAGTAAGACTAAATTTGCTGTCAGTTAAATTCATTTGCTAACCTCAGTCTAAACTTCACAATAATGTAAAATTCTCTTAAAACGTCTATTTCAAGTACACTTACCTGCATATATTAATAAATTAAAATAAAGCTCATCATTGTATTTACACTTAGTCTTGGATATCATAAATTCCATGCTTTAACAACTTACTTGTAACAACTTTTATCAGGTCTTCAATTTTCAACAATTCCTAATGGCAATTATAATGGTTCTCTAAATAACTGAAAACACTATTAACACCAATTACGAATCGTATTATGAAATATACATATCCAACGTGTGAACTCAAAATCTTAAATGCTTGAGAGGTAAATATCCTCACACCACTGCCATCTTGTACGGTAGATGGAAATGATTACAGACAATGCTAATTGTTATTTTTTGAAAAATCTTGATTCCTACTTTAGATAATCTCAAAATTATTTTAAAAAATAATATTTAAAATTATTTTAAGTCATATCGAAGAAAAAATTGATTGTATTAAATATGCTGATGATACTACTGCAAAAACAAGTACGTTAATATATATTAATTACAGTAAATTTATATTAACTTATTAATGCCCAAACATTTTTAAATTAAATTCAATTTAAAAAAAAAAAAAACCTTAACATCAGTAACCTTATTATAACCAACGGTGGATCCATGGGACTGTTATTTTCCCTCCTAAAATAACCATTTTTTGTGATAAAATATTTAATTGTATAGAATTGTTTCTTTGTTCATTGAAAGATTTTAATTATATTTCCAACTAGATTAAGTTACCTAAATAGGTTTTTTTTTTGTGAAAAAAGTAGAAAGGTTACTCTCTGTTATTGATATAACTGGTTCTGAATAAAAAGTGTTCTTTGTTTCAAAATGTGATCCTGCTTTTTCCTAATTAACTTCAACAGATTATATGGGTTATTATGGGGTTAGCAGTTCCTAATTTCCCTTATTACCAATTGCAAAAATAGGAAATACCTTCTTCTGTTTTCGTATCGAAATTTTTCGGAAAACATGGATCTGAAAGTAAACATAGGTAACCTAAAAAGAAAAGGTAACTGGGAAACTTGGAAATTCAAGATTTTGATTCTTCTAATAAGTTTTTCAGGAGGAGAGGATGTAGTAAATGGTAGTTTAACGTGTCTTACAAACCTGCAGTAGAAGCCAAACAAGAAGAGGCAGGGATGCCCACAAGGGGATTTCATAGCGCAAGTTGCGCCATCAAAATTTTTGATGGGGGCACATTTCGACGAGGTTATGCATTTTTGGATTGAAAAGTTTCAAACCAGTGGACAAGAGAAAAGCATAGTACAGACAGACCACTGAAAGTGCAATTGTATAAGACCTATGATTTTTAAAATTTTACCTTAGCTTACACTGTTTTTAAGAAGAGAGGGGAAATAAAATATCTTAGAAGAAGAAGTGGGGGGATCATGCGCCATCGACCTTGGGGGGGGGGGATGGACACCCCTGAGAATAGACAACTTTATACAATGCTAATTATGAAAAAATAAAAACTGCCGACACTAAGGCAATGCCCGATCTATCGTCAAATATGTCTGATGAATCTTTAACTAAAGGTATGATATTTAATTCATCTCGGGAAATGTGATTAGAGCTTCATCGCCTTTTTGAAGGAACACTAGAAGATAAAACTTTTGATTATGCATGCAATTTTTCATGTACAAATACGATTCCAAAGATAACATGAGTAATCATTTAAGTAAATTAAAAAATATATGGAATACTTTAAACAGAAATGGGTGCAGGAGAACATGTTAATCCCTTACCGGACATTCTTTTAATTTTTAAAATATTAGATACCATTCCTTCTAATTGTTTTTCTTTAAAGGCAGTTGGCGTTTAATGAGGAAATCATAAAGAACAATTGATAAGCCAAATAGCAAATTGTGTGCTCATGAGTGAGCTTTAAGAGGTAGTTTTGATGTTCAGTTATCTAAGGAAGAGAAAGCTTTAGCTCTTAATAAATATAGGAAAAATCCACCTAAATTTACTGCAAAGAAAAGTCCAGTTGTATGTCATTACTGTAAAAGGGAAGGCCACATTGTTAAACATTGTACCAAATCGAAAAAAGACCGACGACCACCACTAGCAAATCCCGGATTTAATTTTTGGGGGGGGGCCGAAAGATTTTTTTTTTCATTTATATAAAACGATAATTAATTTGAAAAAAATAAAAAAATTAACTACCTATATGAAATTGTATTTACGTGATTCTTAAAGTCCTACTAAATGTAATGACACGAAGAATAATACTTTAAGAGATAGTTTTTAATATTTTTTTAAAATATGTTTATATTTTACCATTTTTTTGGAGGGGGGCTTCAGCCCGAAAGCCGCCCCCCTCCTCGCAGATCCGCCTGTGGTCCTATCCGAACCACAGGAGGTACCACTAAGATATCTCAGTATGGTTAGTTTTTTGGTTGCGGCCGTTTTTAAGTCTGAAATATGAGTTTCCCATGCCAGTCTTCGGTCAAATACCATACCCAAGAATCTGTGACTGTTTGTATAAGGGATCAGAGAATTGCCCAAGAAAATGTCACGGAAGGGAGGAGTATTTCACTTTCTATTGAAATGGAGGCACTTTGTTTTTTTTTCAGTAGAAAATTCAAGAACAGTAGAAAGGAGCCAAATTTTATTATATTTACGGCTTCCTGTCATTTTTGCTGAATAGTGGTAATGTTGTTAGAGCGGCATACGATGGACAGATCATCTGCGAACAGAAGAGGTTTGACACCTCTAGGCAAGTTAAGTTCCAACTCATTTATTGCTATGCAGAACAATGTTGAGCTGAGTGCACAGACTTGTGGGACACCACTGAT